TCAAATACCAAACAATTTCTTTCCCACTTTCCATTTGAATAATATGTCTAGATCTTCTTTTTTGACAGCAGTGTAGCGTGAAGCATTATTAATATTAGCTAGTATTTCATACAAATAAAATACGGAGAAATCTTTTAAAGTTCAAATAATGTGAAGATAGACTGTTAAATCATTATATACATTTCACTGTTGACATTTCAAGGCATACTGACTTAACATTATATGTATCATATCTTAATTCTTGTTATTATTTACAGATATTAATTCCAACAAAGCTACAACAGCAGCAGCACCATCAACCAGCGCCACAGCAACTACATCCAACAGCAGCAATTATTCCAGCCAAGGCTCATCAGCAACCTACAGAAACAGTAACACTGGCAGCCCAGGCAGGGGTGGGCGTGGTGGAAGCAACTATGGGCAGAGAGGTGGCAGGGGTCGAGGCAGGGGCAGAGGAGGCTATGATCGTGATGGACCCAGGCCTCAAGGCCAGGGCTATAACCGGCCCTACTCCGGACCAACAGCTGCAGCAGGGAGGCCAACAGCAGCCCCTTCAAGCACCTAACCTTTCACCTCCAGTTTGTTACCGCATATGCTCTAATGTACAAGTTATTCACCTTCTTTAGATCCACATTTATTGTAAGACTTGTTACAAAGTTTTCTATCACTAGAATGAAGCCATGCCATCTTGGAACTGTTGAGATGCATGTAAACTTTTAGTACAATGGCCTTTTCTTTCTTTGTCAATTTTTAGCTAATATATATATCATCTAACAGTAAGCAAGTTTTTTTTGGTCTTCTTCTACATTTTGTGCCAGTCAAATGTATGGCTAAGTCAAAACAGTTTAACCCTCAATCTGTCAGATCAAACTTTCCATGGTGTGAGCTATGTTTTTTTGAATTTATAAGGATTTCAGAAAAACTGTATACATGAGATAACATAATGCCATATAACTTTTGAAAAAAAGTCTGTTTCAGGCAAGGGGGCATCAGAATCCCTTTGACCACTGACAAGGATTTCTTTCAGCAGACAAAATATTTGTAAAAGTAATTTAGAATGGCAAATTAAATAAAAGATTTTTGTAAATATATCTGTAAGAAAACAAGATGAAAACTGGCAGACGTAATGAGCTGTTGCTGTTATAAAAAGGATCAGGTGGAAAGTCTAATTGAAGGTTGAGGGTTAAAAAGTTTTATTTAATTCTATCTGAAACAAATCATGTATTGTTAGATCATCAGTATTTTTATCTATCTATTAAAAGAATATCAAATGTTCTTCTAAGAAATGTCAATACCAGTGTCTTTTTTTTTAGTTGATTTTTTCCCTTTGTTGTTGATAACAATCTTTTTTTTGTTTGTTTGTTTGATATTACATTAATAAAATATTTGATAGAAATTGTTTTCTTTCTTTCTTGTTTTGTTGTGATTATTTCCATTTTTTATTAACCCTTTTTTCTTATAGTGGCAATAAGTAATTATGTAGACATTAACTCGAACTCTAGGGGCTTGGCTGATATATTGAAGTTTTCAAATTTGATACATCTATATACATACAAAATGGTTTTCATCACAACTGAGCCCCTGTCCAGTGATGTCCCTGTTTTCTTTTAGGAATTAAATATAGTTACAAGTTTTTTTTTAAATTTGCATCTAATCATTTCATTTAATTGTTTCGGGTTTCCAAATAATTTCACATTTTCATTTTTTTCCATCTTAATTTTTTGGTTGTTTTTTTTTTTTTTTTTTGGATTGCATCAAGATTGTTAGCGGATGAAATGTTTTAACTATTTGTGGAAAATGTTCTGACAGATTTTCTAGTCTAATACAGAATGTGTCCATTCATTCAAGGATTCATCTATCATGTACCAGTAAAGACATATCTACAAAAGTTTTAAATGATCTTGTTAAACTCCCAAACTCTATTGATTCATTTTAGTTACTACTAACCTTTGAATGTAATGGTTTTATACATTAGGTCATTGAAGAGAGAGAGAGAGAAAAACATGCACATATATATATATTGTTTGTTAAAAACACAATGAACAAAACATGTGCTGACGATGTATATCTTTATGAATATTTTGTTACTGATTGAATTAGAGACACAAAAATAGGTTTCCACTGATGAAATAAAATTCCTGTTAACACTTATTTTTTTTGACAGTGAAACATTTTCATTTCAATAGAAACCTCGAGTTTAACCAAACAAGAAATCCTGTTTTCTCTTAGTTCTTTCAGTTTAGTTTTTATTCTTTTTCCTACTTTCCAATCTTTTCAGTTACAAAATAAACCAGTTTGAAATAATTTTAATGGGTGGTTCTTATTTCATCATTTTTACAATTTTAATTTGTTTTGTTGTTTTTTTTTGGGTCAGAATTTAGGACCTTAACAAAAGACCCATTAGCTTTTTTTTTTAGTTTAATATATATGATTTGATTTGTTGATTTGTTTGTGATTGTGGTTTGGCAGGGGGAGAGGTCATTTGTTTCTTGTAGTTTTCAGTGAATGATAACTCTCTTGTCCCAAAGTTGGTAGTTCCTGGCAGCTAAAAGTGGAGGTGGTTCACCATACAGTTGTTATAAAAAGTGCTAAAACTTTGAACAAAACTAAATAGTTGATCTCCCAGATTTGGGCATGTTCACACAAGGCAAAAGAATATTGCAGCCAAGAGATTGGTCATAGTAAGATTACTGTTAACTGTGAGACCTGCGCAAATGTCTTTTTCTACCTTTTGTTTTAAAATACAGTTTTTACCTAAAGGAACAAAATAAATGGATGGATGGCTGCTTGGTCATGTGGTATGCACTATGGACTGTCATCTCAATTGTCCTGGGTTCAAAATCTAGCTGCCACCATCCTACAGTTTAAAAAATGCTAATTAATTTTTTATTTATATTTTTTATATTTACCGATTCTGTTTTTTCTTTAATTTGTTTTTTTTCTTCTTTTTTTTCAAAACTTTTAATTGTTTGTTTGATTGATGGTTTGATAAAAATCAGCCTTTTCCTTCAGATAGTATCATGGAGTTTTCTGATGGAATAATTTAGGTTGAATTATTTACAGATAGAACTGGTGTAGAAAAAAGATAGACAAAAGAGAAACATATCTGAATTACTGTTTTTAATTGATGTATTGGCCAACTCTGATCAAGTACCAGGTTTTACATGCTATGTATTTTTAACTCAAATGCTAAGTGGGCAAGCTGTCACTATATAAATGTAAGGTAAAAAGTAATTCAGCTTTGCAGCAAGAAATCAATTTATGCAAACAGTGTTTGGCAATAGTTTCTACTTTATTCCATATGACAAATTCATTCAGGACTTCCTCCTTCTTCCCTAGTGCTATCAGAGCATGAAAGCAGTTGCCTAAATTAAGGAAAACTTAAGATTTAACTCTTTCTCTCCATAATTATTTACCACATTCTGGTGAAATCAACGCTGGTATCGTCATTTAGGAGAGAAAGAGTTAAGTCTCTCATTAACATACATGACTAGATTAACTCATAGGATGTTATTACATTCCCATTTGAAGGGATGTCTTTAATTTATAATATTCGTTTTCTTTATTTATTGGTTCATTGGGTCTTCTCTTTTTATTTCTAATCAATTTCAGTGAATGTAATAGCAGTTTTAAAATCCTCTTCCGCCTCTGCCAGGTGGCTTTAATATTGTTATTTGTGCAGTGTTATTTCTTGACTTGACATGTATTAGTTTCTTTGTTTCTGCCTGTCATAGTCCATGTGGATTCAATGTTGAGGCCAAACAGATACTAGTTGGAGTGGAAATGTTTCTCAATATTTGCCTAATTCATTTAAAACCAAAGTTTGGAGTAAAAATTAAAAAATTGTATGATGTGTTCTGGTCTTGAATGAACTCTTCGTTTATTATGGAAAGAAATATACAATCTACACCTTAAAAGCGTTTTTATCTTTGCTTCTACTAGAGTTAGACCACTGTAATTACAAATTTATCATTGTTTCTTTTATTTACAAATCCTTGTGGAGACTTGGGTCTGTGTGGGTGTTATTGAGTTCATGCTATCAGCTCTGCTAGTTAACAGTTTTTGTAGAGAAATGTAGAGTAAGCTTTAACTATAGTGGGAAAAAAGAAAGAGGTTACCTATAGTTTGTCATAAAAGATGGCGTACATATGTAGAGTAAGCTTTAACTATAGTGGGAAAAAAGAAAGAGGTTACCTATAGTTTGTCATAAAAGATGGCGTACTCTTTTTCACTTGCGCTGTGGTTTTTAAGGTCTTAGGAAAAAAAATGATTAACGTTGTCCTCAGGACTTAATGATCCTTGGGCAAATGTTTCTGTCAGCGACTGTCAACAGTTGTGTCATGTCGTTTGGTTTTAACTTTATTCTAAAATAAAAACTAGAAGCTCAACTTGAGCTCCTTCACTCCCAGGCCGAGCACTTTGACTTGACCCCCCCCCCCCCCCACACACACACACAAAACTTACTTCTTTTTTCTTTAATTTTTGTATCATTGTCCTTTTTAGACTTCACCTAGCACATATCACTTTGACTTTTTAACATCATATTGACCGTAGGTCATCAGTATTCTATACCGAGACCTTGATTCTGTAACAGTTGTTAAGTGTTTTCTTTGTAGGTATAGATATTATTTTTTGTTTGCTGTCAGTCTTAAAGTCACAGGGTATTATGACTTGAGTCTTCATTATGCCAGGGTGGCACTGATAGGATGTTCACATTTTACTTGTTTGGGAAAAAAGTCAGCTCCAAGGATGTAAACTTCTTGTGTTTTATTTGATTGTTGGAATGTTGTAGCCAGTGTCTCAGATAAAGTTTTGTTTTTAGATATAACTAGATAGGGGAGTGTCTGACAATCAATGCTTTAATAGTCTTTGTTTTAGTAGCTTCTCAGTGGCTGTAGATTTAAAGCAAAATGTTCTCTAGTGGGCTATATAATGGTTTCCTAGTGGTATAGCTTAAAGAATTTTTTTCTTACTTCTCTAGACTGTATACATTTAAATGCTTTTTTTTTTTTTTTTTATCTTTGTTTGATGTGTTCTACATCCTGATGTTTAATATGTAATACATCATGATGTACAGTTATTGTTCACCCCCACTTGTTTTTTTTTTTCAAGATTTTTTTTTTATTTACGATAAATTTCTTTTTTTTTTAAATCATTCATTGAATCCTTTGTTTGTTTGATGTTTCTCTGCAATACAATCTAGTCTTGATCTGTGTACCTCCATGAAGATTGCAAGTCTTCTTGTCAAAGTTAGTGAGAAGAATATTTTTTGATGGCCATTCAACTGAAACTTAATAATGTTCTTTGCTTTGTATTTTTAACTGAGAAATGTAAAGCTGTAAAAGACTTTGATAGCTGGTCATGTGATATGCATTCTTGACTTTCATCTCAATGATCCCGGCTGCAAACCTTGGGCTAGAATGGAATAATCTATTCTAACAGGATATTCCAGTAAAACAAGACTTTGCTTAAGCATTTTCTGTTCGAATTTTCCAAGGAGGTTGTTCATAATCCCTGACCTACTTTATAAAAAAGGTCACGTGACTGTAGTCTTATACATGGCAATAATGGAAATATCTTCCTATGATAAGATGTAGATCTAGATTTAGTGCTAGCCTAGATCTAGTAGACCTACTAAATAATCATAAAAATTTGTGAATTATTGTAACATACTTTTTATTACTTAAAGATGTCTAGATCTAGACTATTTTCATTTTTAAATTACAATGAGGTCATTAATGTACCCAATTAACTTTCAAAAAATTGTTTTGGTCCAAACTACACAAATACTTGTAACAAATTTGTTAAGCCGTTGAGACTTCCTATGGCAGAGCAGACAAAGGTGTTCAGGTCTTGTTGAAACTGGGTCTCTTGGGGGAGAAAGCATATATAGTTGGTTGCACTTGTCATCTATGTAAACCAATTTGGGTCATAGATGCTGGTCAAGCCTGTTCCACCTTATCTAGTGGCTGGCCTCAAAGGAAAACTTTTAAATATATATTCCTGGGCATGGCATAGAGTTGTGTCCCTTAATACTTCATTCACCATTGTCATTAGTTTATATTCTCTTGTCATTTTTTGTTTGTTTCTATTTCCTCTTCTATCATTCATGTGTTGACTTGGTTAGGTTTTAGGTCAAGAGTTAACTTCTCTTTTGTTTTTATGCTTTACATAGAATGTTAAACTTTTTTTTCTTTTAGTTAAAACTTATTTCAGAGCCTAAGACAAACTTGTTTCTGTTCTGACCAGATTTTTACTGATATAATGTTTGACAATTTTAACAAAAAGTATATATTTGTATTCTTGTATGGACAAAGTGTTGCAAACATAATATATATATATATATATATATATATATATATATATATATATATATATATATATATATATATATATATATATATATATATAATTTTTTGCATTATAGCAAACTAAGCAGCACTGAACTAAACAATTTTTTTTTCTCTCTATGCATTTGTTCGTGTGTCTTAATGCTGTTAGTGGTCTGTCAAATCATTGTTTGCGACGAATCAGCCTTTTAGTATTGTTTGTTTCAGGTTGTGGGTTTGCTAGATTGAACATAACAAACAACAGTTTAAAAAATGTGGTTTGTTTGTATTACTGTATTGTATGAATCACATTGTTCCACTAACATAATATCCAGTTTGGATTGCCTTGTTCTGATATCAGCTAACACTTTATATCCTTCATCCTCCATTGTGTCTTTGAGAAATATTTCAATCAATTATTTTCAATAAAATAAAAAAAATTACATTTCTATGATTGGTTTGTGGATTTCTTTTTTGATGGAATGTTTTTGATTAGATTCAAACTTGTTTGTGATTAGATGCTTTTTAATCAGTGACTTTAACTCTGCCAAGTCGTTGGTTTTCCTGGCTTTATGTATAATTTTCCTGGTTTTATGCATAATTGCTACTTTACTTTTGAGTCTTCAGGATAGAAGACTCAAAAGTGAAGTAGCGATTATACATAAAAAACCATAATCTTCCAATACAAAAAAAAAATCGAATAAAATACTCAGAAAGACACAAAGATAAAGGCACTTTCCTCTTCCATATGCTAGGACACAATTGTACAAATGCTCCTTCTTCCCTACTCTTGCTATTAGAGCATGGAATTGGGTTGCCTGAGCTAGCAAGGAAAACCAGTGACATGGCAGAATTTAGGTCATTGGTTAATATGCATGACGCGTAGGACATAATCATCTTCTTTCTTGAAGTAACGTATTATATAAGATAAGGCAGATTCAGGCAACCCATTCTACGCTCTAACGGCACTAGGGAAGAAGGAGAACGTGTACGAATTTGTCCTAGAATATAGATTTATAGTTAAGATTGATCATAAAGCGATATATCGACTCATCCAGTCAATCTGTAGGCTATATATCAGTGCATTTACATAAGTAGAGCATACTAGTGTAGGTACTATTTTTCCATGACAGCGTAATAGTTTAAGATACATGGATGCTCAGTAAAATTATGTAAAAATTCGGTAAATTTACAATTCCATTGGTTTTCGGTCCGGACGCATTGAATCTCATCGCGCCTAGGTAGCCTCGCCACTGCTAGTCAGACTGACGCCTGCCATTCATTACACGTGTGTACAACTTTCTTCATTCAAATGACACCTTGTGTATGTAGGCTTACGCAGGTGGATGTGTAGCGATCACTACATTGGGTTGTGGTTTATTGTTGAGTAAATCCTCCAAATGCTGGTAAGAAATGTTTGGAGTACTTCACGATACCTGTAGACATGTAAAGTAGACTAATAGACTGGTAAAGTTTCATTGTTGACATGGAATGGGAAGACAACTCCAACATTCTCAGTGTCAAACAACTCCAAACGTTGAAAGAAAAAAAAAGGTCAAAGACGTAATGCATACAACAAAAATCAATACCACAATTAGGGGGTGTGTGTATGGGGGGGGGGGGTAATGTTGACTGTTTTTTTTTCCTACGTGGCGCCTTACGTTGAATACAAACTGGACTGAATTGAGGGAGGGGGGGGGAGGCCAAACAAAGTGAGCCTCACTGACCTACAGTCTCTTTTTCATCCTTAGGCGATAACCTTTAGAATTTGTGGACGACCGTTACGTCATAAAACAAATCCACCCTCCCCCAAATTAGAGGGACCTTGTTAACTAGAGAATGTTGTTGTTTTTTTTTTAATGTAGGCACTACTATTTGATTTGTCTCGTGGAAAAGGGACAGGGAAAGGAATGTCGAAAAGGGATTGTGGGAATCTTAGTGGATAGTCACAAACTTCTGACTTCTGCTGACCTTGAAGAACAAAATGGTGCTTCTGTGTTTCTTCGTTCCGCAAGGTTGTTAACGCCGGAAGTGGTAATGGTTCGTCTGAAGGCTAATGTCACACAAAAGACAAGAGCAGTGGGATACACATGTTTAACGTTGTCACGAAGGCTATTGCTATATTGCAAAATAGAATACAGCTTTTGGTTTTGTCTAGGTGTACATGTCTGCTCACAAATGCTTTTTTTAACATAAACACGATATTTAGTTCTGTTTCAGATCAATCTACTAAAGCTTTAAACCTCGTATTGAAAACAATTATCTTGGTTTGGACTTTTTGAAATGTTTGTTAGTTTGTTTTACATGTTTCGGATGTTCCCTTCAGAGTTGAAGATAGTTTACTTCCTAGTCCAAACTTCCCGCAGGACGACGGGTGATGGCAGTGGGCAGGGTTTGAACCCGGGACCATCGATAAATCCAAAAGACAGTCCAGTGCGCAAAAAGGACAGACGCAGACGGCGAAAGGAAAATCTAAATCGTCCATCTGCGGATAATGGTTGTGTTGCGGGGTTACTTTTTAAGAACACTGTTTGTGTCTTCTTTCAGTATTATCTCATTTAAATGTCAGCTTTGCAAATGTGATGGGGCCTCGTCTGAGTAGTTTAGAGCTTGACTTCCTAACCTAGCTCCTGGCTCATATCTCTGTGTAGATTGGGATTTTGAATTTCGGTAATTTTAGGGCGCCCCTGAGTCTAACCAACTCTAATGGGTGCCTGTCTTTTGTTAGAGAAAGTAAGGCTGTTGGTCGTTGTGCTGGCCACATGACACCCTGCTCGTTAACCGTTGGCCAACATCATCTGTCCTATAGATCGCAAGGTCTGAGGGGGGACAATGCAAATGTGTGTCATAAAACAAAATACACCAGTGCTGGAATTACCAACAGGAAACACAGCTGAGAGTTTCACTAGCTATAGATTAGGGCCCATATACTTGCCCTCAAGAAATGGTCCCAGTGATATTTTCCATCATTTTTGGAAAAAATAGCAAAAAAGAAATATTGTTGATTACAAGAAGCCCCGACCCATATATATATATATCTTATATAATACAGACGTTACTTTAAAAAGGAAGATGATTACGTATATATATATCAAAGAGCTTAGAGCCTTATTAAATCTAAATCCGGTTCTGAATAGCACAAACTAAAAAAAAAAGTATAAAATGTAGGCCTACTGTCAAAAAGGAGTATTAAAAAATTTCACGTGCTATTATGAGACAGCACATTAACAAGTCCTAGACACATCAGTAATTAAACCCGAGTCATTCAGTTCAGCAACGAAGTCATATACGTTTCTCAACCACGATGGGGGAAATGTTTATAAAGAGATGACGTAAACTGCGCATGTGCAAAGGAGTGGTTTAAGTTTTGGGGTAAAAAAAATATGTAGACCAATAAATAAACAGTTTATTTGTACAAGCTATCCTACTTGCAAACTCTTCATAGAAGCTGGGTGGAACATGAACGGGTAGTTTCGATTTTTCTAGAAATTTATTAACACTTTATGTATATCTTTGGGTAAAAAAATAATAATAAGGCTTGTCTTCGAGCCCGAATATTAGTGAGGAATGCACTATTTCCCGAGGCTGCGCAGCCCCAGCTGTGACCTACATATTTTGCCACATGCAGGGCAAGCATAACCATTGTCCGCAGGTGGTTGATTTAGATTTTCCTTTCGCCGTCTGCGTCTGTTCTCGGAAGCGGATTTTCTTTTGGTCTTAAATGTGTATCCTGCGGCCTTTGTGAATGACCTCCAGCTGTCTCGTTCTGAGGCCGCATGCAACCAGGTGCTCTCTTCTAGGTCAGCTAAGGCAAGTTGGCGCCTAAGTTGGGACGCCTCTGTTACGTCGACCACCTTTTAGCTCACAAAAATAGACTGCCTTTGGCATGTGTTCATTTTACATATATAGATAAACCGAAAGAGGCGTCAGCGTATGCTAATTCGTTGACAGCGTTCTGGAGATCATGTTCTTTGTGCGCTAGCAGGGCGCAATCATCGGCATAGAGAAGCTCCGTTAGGACCAACTCCTTTGTTTTTGTATGGGATAGTAGACGTCGAAGATTGAACACATTGCCTTCCGAACGAAACCTGATGTAGATGCCTTCGTGCAATCGCAGCCTCATTTGACCCAGCATTACGCTAAAGAAGATAGCGAATAGAGTAGGAGCAAATACACAGCCCTGCTTCACCTTTGGGGAAAAATACAAGCTATTATATATAATCAAAAAGGCTTCAGCGCTAACCATCTGTTTTTCCATAGCCAGAAATTCTGTTACATTCTAAATCGATGAATTTGCACACAAAAAATTGTATTAGTGGAAACGCTGTCAAAAACCTGGGCATCACTAACGCAGTTTTTTACTTTCATTATAAGGGGCCAAACCTTTAGAAACGATTGCTTCACATTTGATTCTTGTACATATGTGTTTTAGGTCATACATTTTAAATCAATTCGAAAGTGTAGTCTATTGATAGAAAACTGTTATTATGGAAAAACTGTAAGATTGGGAAAAGTACATTTAGCGGCTGCGAATTGATTGATCATTAAGTATTTAAACGTTAAAGAAGTTCCTTCATGAAGGCTTTCTAGAAGCTTCCAATTGAAAATTACGATCTGAATTTAATTCTTATGACCTGATGGCCAGACAAGATCTCGAAAGACCTCGAATGGGGAACGGTGGCAAAGATCAAAGCAGCAACCCATTAAAGTAGACAATCTTATGAGACGCTGGAGATGGATAGGTCACACCCTTCACAAGCCTGCATCCAACATAACAAGGCAATTCTTAACCTAGAACCCCCAAAGGAAAGAGGAAGAGGGGACGGCCCAGGATTACATGGCACCGCGATTGGGAAGCAGATCCCAAGCAGATAGGCAAGGCGTGGAGACAGTTGGAGGGACTCGGCCAAAACCGAGATGGCTGGAGGAAGCTGGTTGGTGGCCTATGCCCCAGAAGGGACCACAGACAGAGGGGATGAATAAAATGATCTGAATTCAGATTATTGGATTAATCTACATGTGCGACAAAAAACTGCGATCGACATTTCTAGAATCGCACTCCACTGTGTATATTTTCCTTGCCCTCTTTATAAACAGAGACTCTGCCTGAAGGCCTCTATGAACTTCTATGTTCCTTTTAGAACTTTCTTATCCTGTCATTGACTTGAACACAGAAAGAAAATAGTAGCGAAGACATTTATGCTGAAATTGATTAACAGAATCAGAAAGAAACATGCGAAACGCCAAAAGTCGAAAGAAAACTGAAGGCTGACACAATCGCCAAGAGTGGGAGAACAAACTCACAATTAAACATTGCACTCTATCCAGAGGAAAGGAAGAAACTAATAGTAAATAAAATAAAGGGAAAATGGACAAGCTCTCATGCAAATCACAAGAAAGATGATGCCATTTATAAGCTAATCTTTCGACTCAGGACCGGACACAACAGA